AAAAAAAAAAAAAAAACATTTAAAGGGCCCATATATTTTTCATAAAAATGGCAAAAAGCATAAATTTAGAGCTAAGGAGCAATAAATCTATAACCAGCACAGTGGAGAAGAATATATCTGGCACAGTGAATAGCACATGCAATGACTCTGACTTTGGAAAATGCTTGACAGCTTGGAGGAATGGAAGGAGGCCAAAGGTTCCTAGTTGGGGGGGGGGGGGAGTGAAACAAGGTGAGGATTAATAGCACAGGTGGAGGTTATCTCTTAAAGTGGATGCCTCACTCACAACCATGGAAATGAACTCCAAAACCTGGAGTAAGCTCCCACTGGCCATGTCTATATTAACTGACCTTGTCTTCTGGCCATGACCAAATTATTTATTCAATTATGTAATCATTAATTCAATGTTTAATGAACACCTACTGGATGCCAGGCATAGGTGTATGGTAATAAATAAGACAGAGTAGCCTTTGTGGAGATAGATCAAATTGGGGATAATAGATAGATCCAGGGGTAAAAATTTAACAGAAGCCAAGCCAATCAAATTCTTTCCCCTGGTAATTTGAAATACTGAAGAGAGAAGCACAGAGACAAGACTAATCATATTAATGTCAGCAGTCCAGAGAGAATTCTGCTGCTGTGGAGTTTCCTGGGGAAGGACTTGGTTTATCTCCCTAAGTCTTGGTTGCTCAACGTTTCCTCGATAGTTTCCAGCATCTTTATCCTGAAACTAATTAGTGCCAGTTCCTGTTGTCTGAAATCAAAAAACAATAATACAGAATGGGTATAGGTTGGTAGGGGCATGTCAGACAGGGCTTCTGGTACCACGTTAAAGATTGTAGACTTTATCTTACGTGGGACAAGAAGCTATTGAAGCTTGCTTACAAGCAAGGAAGCGATATGATCAGATTGTATTTTAAGGACCTTACTCTGGTTGCTGTGAAGAGAATGGAATGACAGAGTGTGAAAGAGAAGTGGGTAGTTCACCTGGGAGACCATTTAGTTCTCTGGATGAGAAATAAAGTAATTCATACTAGAATAGGGACAGTGGAAATGGAAAGCAGTGATTCAGTTGGATACACTATAGTAGTAGAATCAGTAGGATTTGGGGAAGGGATTGGACATGAGAGGTGCAGGGGAAAGATATCAAGGATGGGTCCAGGTTTTTGCCAAGAGCTACTTGGCCAAGGGTAGTGACATTTACTGATTCAGATGAATCTGAAGGAGGAGCAGATCGGTGAAGGAGAGCAAGAATTGAGTCTTGATTTCTAGAGGTCTTTATGCAAACCCAAGCTGAATAAAACTTTTATCTAATGTAACTTTTTACATTCATCTAACTGGCAATCCAATTTTTTCCTTTTAATTTTTATTTAGTTGTGTTTTTTTTTTTAATTTGAGAAAGAAAACATAGCGTGAAGGAAGGCGAGGGGGAAGGAGAGGAAGAGAGAGGAAGAAAAGGAATCATAATCAGAGAAACTCTCCATGTTGCAGGGAAATGCCAGCCCAGAGAATGCATACAAAAGTGGAGTCTGCAAACAAAAGTGCAGTTAAGAGTGATCCTCACCTCAGTGAGTGGGGAATGGCTAACTCCAGAATGAAGCCTCTCTTTATTAGGATAATTGCTAAAGACTAAGTGCATAAAGTCAAACTAAACAGAGTGAAGTAATCCAACTTAATGATTTTACTTTTCAAGGTTGAATTTAGGATAATTGTTTTTTATATTCAAGGAAGGGAAGGAGAATCTGGCCCTGGACAATGTTAATGGCTCAAGGCGTGCCTTAGTAGCCACAGCTGTATTCAGCTATGTAACCATGTCCTAAGGCCTTGCACCTTCCTTTCCTTTGGTGAAGTCTTTTCCTTTGATGCTTCTCTCCTGCATACCACCATAGCTCCCACAGTATTTAAGAAGGGGCACCTGGGTAGCTCAGATGGTTGAACGTCCAACTCTTGATTTTGGCTCAGGTCATGATCTCATGGTTTGTGAATTTGAGCCCTGCACTGGAGGCTCATGTGAGGTGCAAAGCCACGCGCCCCGATTCTCTCTCACTACTCTCTCTCTCTCTCTCTCCCTCTCTCTCTCTCTGCCCGTCTCCTACTCACACACACACACACACACACACACACTCTCTGTCTTAAATAAATAAACATTTAAAAAAATATACTTATTTAGTAATCTCTAACCCAACATGGGGCTTGAATTCTTAACCCCAGGATCAAGAGTCACATGCTCAACTGACTGAGCCAGCCGGGAGCCCCTGGCAATTCAGTCTTGAGTTTTACATCTGTCGAGAAAGACAAAAAAAAAAGGGGGGGAGAGAAAATTCCCCTATAGGTATAATGTTAACTAAGCTGCTCTATGTGAAAGAACTTAGGACATGATAATTAGAGACATCCTGAATAAGAACTTTATATAGTTTAAGCTCTAGAATAAATGGTCCTGAAACAGAATGGAATGTTCTGTCATTAAATGTTGCATCATTTGGGTTTTAGGTCTCATTTTATCTTACAAGAAATTACTTATCCTCCTCCACTCCCCAAGGTAATTAATCATTTTCTATATTTCACGAGCAGCCTGTTTTACTATTTCCTTTAGTATCTTTAATGATATTCATATTACTTGAAAAATGTATCTGCCAGATAAACTAATGCTAATAAGTATGCGCTACTGCTGCAATGTCACGTAATTTCCAAGTTCTATGTTTTTTTTCAGGGACATGACATTTAAAGA